CTGGAGGAGGTGCGAGGAATGCGGAGGCATACAGAGCGTAATAATGTTGTTCTGCTGGCAATGGAGCTCGAATTCGGTCGAGTGGTGGCTCTCGTGGCCGTCGAGGATCAATAACCTATATTTGCCCTTTGTCCGAGGCGCTGTATGGTAGGTAGTCGAAGTGCTTGATCCAATCCAGGCCTACCGCGTTGGTAGTCCAGCCATTGTCGGTAGTTGCGATGCGCCAGTCGGCTGGGAGGTCGCACTCGGTGTACCAGTTGGCGAGGTGGTATTGTGCGGCTAAGATGATGAAGGGGGGGATGGCCCAGCCATAGGCATTGACGCCCTGTATCACCGTTGCCCACTCGCGGTTGCCAGGCTGAGCCAGCTTTGCCTTGCTACGGCCATCCGAGGTCGTAACCACCATGCCCGCAGAGATAATGCCCATCATTAAACCCAGTCTCGTCGAAGTTGTAGATATCGTCATCCACGATACCATACTTGGCCTTGACGTTCCGCACGAGGGCAAACCATTCCCCAATGATCTTTGGATCTTCGCACTTGGCCCTCTGGTGGTCGTATTTACGCGTCCAACGCGTTTGGAGCTCTGGTTGGCGTTTGACGAATCGATGCGCCCAGAGTTGACCGACAGGAGGCGCCTCACGTACACGTAGCAGCTGGTTGGCCATATCTTCAACACCACACAATCTAGGTGGAAAAGCTCGCTTACATAGCTCAATGACATATCGAATAATAGCCTCTTCTTCTGAACGAGTGAGCTTCTTCGACTTAGGTGTGGTATCGCATCGTGCAGGCTTGCCGTCGCGTCGGCGCCCTAGAGTCTTGCGGGCGACCCCATAGATCTTAGCTGCGGCTCGCACGCTTAGATTCTTGTTTTTTTGAAGAGCCTGGAGGGCTATAATTATCTGGCCTTCTTTTGAAGTAGAGGGCATTTTGGATTGTGGAGGAAATTGTTGTTGAGTGCAAAGGTGTCGCGTCGCGTTGAAAGTGGGCCACTCACTGATATGGGCCACTCACTGATAAAGTACGTTATAGAGTTTAGAAATCTAATAATGTTGAATTCACGAGATACATTAGATAGTAATAGACCTTTTACCACCTTCCTAATTGCCTAGGACGGTACCAAGTCTTCCTAGGCCACCATCTAGCATACCGCCTACCTAACTAGCCATCCTAACGCAGAAGGGTGTTAGGGTCACCAAAGCGGCGGCAGACAATGTTGTAGGTGTTGGTAAAGAGGCGGATGGCCGGCGTGGGGATCTCGCTGGCCCTTGCAGGTGGGCCGGAGTCCGGAACGTTCTCCGGCTCAGCACGAACTGGCGAGTTCGGAGTTGGCGCCATAATAGGCTCAAAAAGAGTCATGATGCTCTCGCGAGTAGAGACAAACGGCATCTCGACGCAGAGGGATTTTGCGTAATAGTACAGCTGTTGCAGGGCGTTGGGGCGAGCAAGAAATTGCCAAGCGGTGATAAAGCCGCCCTGTTGTCGGGGTCTTATCGGAGGCTTTGGAATACCAACGGCGGCTGACAGTGGTCCAGACTTCTCTATCCCGGATGTCGTCGCCCTCCATCGCCATACGATAGCGGCTAAGGTCTCCTAGGCATTCTATCCAAGTGTCTTCAAATGCTGGCACAATTTCGTATAGCAATGCTATTATCGAATAGGCCAGGTAGATAAAGGTAAGCATATGGTCCAGACTTGCGGGTAGTCGATGTCTTAGGAGCTCAAGGAAGCTGTGAATGCCATGTCTCCACATGCGTGCGGGCATGGCGTAATTTACGGCAACTCTCCTTAATGCCGGGCTTGCAGAAGGATGCTGGGACGCGAGGAAGAAGTCGTGATGCTCGTGGAGCAAGGTGCGGTGTAGCGCAATCAGAGCCTGCCACTGTTCGTTGTTGATCTTGTGGGCGGGATTGTTCTGCGAACTCTGCGCGTTGTCCACCTCAATACATTTGGTCTCGACCATGACGAGACCGGCATAGATGCCCTTGACTTCAGCCACTAGCTGCTCCTGGGAGATTGGCCGAGTCTCGGGCTGCTTGATGAGCTCAGCCGAGTCATCGTCTGTGGGTGCTGGCGTGGAAGAGGCGGAAACCGGCGGCGGGTGAGATTGCCGATGGGACTTTGGAAGCGGGCCCGAAGAGCCGCGGTAACGGTGATGTTCGCTACGTTGGACTTGTCGATGGTCCGGGGTCGGGGTTCCGCACCGTCGTCGTCCGGGTTCCATAGGTGACCCTTCGGGAACGAGCGTCTCTCGAAGTCAGCCCGGGTGTCGTCTGGTAGTGGGGTATTTGAGAGCCGAGCCTTGGACCGTTTAGGCGGGGATACGCTCCGAGACGGCGAACCCAGCCTCAGGTCCATCTTCATAACACACTCTGGTCCTATGGTGGCAAGGACTCTCCAAGTGATGTCTTCAGCGGTTGTGGAATGCGGTTCACCAATGCCGAGAAATGTAAGAGTTATGGAAGTTGCAGAATCCGAATAATAATAAAATCCTAAGCTGGCCTAGGATTGCTCGCATGGTTCGCATATTTGCTCGCTGGCAGTTAGTTGCCTTGTGAAGTTGCTTTGTTACATCTTACTTGCAAGCTTCCCTTCCGACTCGCCGGGTTTGGAACTCAGCGAGCAAGTACCGGCCACTGCTTGGTAGGCCCACTGCATCAGAAGTACTGACCACGGTACACCCTATTAAAGGGACAAGCGCCGGGTGATTGTTGTTGCCAGATCGGGAGGTCAGTCACTGCTGACTCCTCGATTCGGTATAGCTTTTTAACAGGGGCGTGCGATTCTCTGCATCCTCATTTCTCACACTTGGCATCCAAAAGAAAAGGGCGTCCAAAGGTTGCTTTTCGGATGTGGCCGCCTAGCAAACCCGTTCTCACAACCCCGTTCTCACCGCTAAGACGCCCCGCTTACCACGACAACGCTCTAGCTCTTTTGGCAGGGTGACCAAACTGCGGAAGTTACGAATACTGTGATGATGACACGCTGTACAGGCCCCTCACGGTCCGGCTTAGCTGGGCGAAGAACATGACGAACATATGCACAAAGGAACAGCGCAAGAAGCCACAGGACCGCGTCCCGTGGCGCTCTGTGGGCGTATGGCACTTCTCCCGGCCTCACGGGAGTATCATTCCTCTTCCTGTTTTTAGGCTGCGAATGTAGTATCTTAAAGACCAGCTATCTTACAAATATCCACCGCAGTCTTTTCAAGAGGCTGTATTTCATTATCTACTATACAGAGCGAAACCCACTCAGAAGAACTGAATCGTGACTGTTAGCCCCCGCATTGACGGTATTCCGCCATGACCAGCCTGTGCCCTGATACGCAATCCTCGGCGGACTCGGCAGTCGAGCTCGTGACAGACCGCCTTGAGACCCCCTCGCTGGATGACCGGTCATACCGAGTGATCCGTCTCTCGAACCAGATCGAAGCCCTTCTGGTGCACGATCCGAAGACAGAAAAGGCCAGTGCTGCGATGGACATCAACGTCGGGAGCTTTAGCGATGAAGATGACATGGCCGGAATGGCTCACGCAGTCGAGCATGTAAGTATCCCGCAAGACATCAGATGATCCCACTCCGCGCAGGCCGCAGGACTGACCTTGACAACACAGCTC